TATGTATGTATGTATGTATGTATGTATCTGTGTGTGTGTGTATGTATCTGTGTGTGTGTGTGTGTATGTGTCTGTATGTGTGTGTGTGCGTATGTGTCTGTGTGCGTGTATGTGTGTGTGTGTCTGTGTGTGTCTGTATGTACGTGTATGTATGTGTATGTATGTGTGTGTATGTGTATATGTGTGTGTGTGTGTGTGTGTATCTGTGTGTGTGTGTGTGTATCTGTGTGTGTGTGTGTGTGTTTTTGTGTGTGTGTGTATGTATGTATGTATGTATGTATGTATGTATGCGAGTATGTATGTATGTATGTGTGTGTCTCTGTGTGTCTGTGTGTGTGTGTGTGTGTGTGCGTGTGTGTGTGTGTATGTATGTACGTGTGTATGTGTGTGTGTGTATCTGTGTGTGTATCTGTGTGTGTATCTGTGTGTGTGTGTGTATCTGTGTGTGTGTGTGTGTGTGTGTGTGTGTGTACCTTCGTAGTTGACCTGTCCGTCCCCGTCGATATCGGCTTCCCGGATCATCTCGTCCACTTCTTCGTCCGTCAGCTTCTCTCCCAGGTTCGTCATCACGTGACGCAGCTCCGCCGCGCTGATGTAGCCGTTCCCGTCCTAACGGGGAGAGAAGTTAGACCCCCACAGCTAGCATGGTCCCGATCCGATATCTGGATCCGATCGGCCGCCCATATTTGCAAAAAAATGCGTATCGGCCGGCAGGAGAAAATGCAGATCCAGACTACTACTTTAAAGCCCCAAAACGGCTTTAAAATCCCCAAAAACGGCTTTAAAATCCCCCAAAACAGCTTTAGAATCCCCGAAAATAGTTTTGAAGCCCCCAAAAACAGCTTTAACATCTCAAGAAACATCTTTAAAAGCACACAAAACAGCTTTAAAATAAATAAAAAAACTGCTGTAAAAACCCCAAAAAAGAGTTTTAAACCCCCAAAAACTGCTTTAAAATCCCTCAAAACAGCTTTGAAATAAATTTTTAAAAAACTGCTTTAAAACCCCCCAAAAAAGTAATTTAAAAGCTTCTAATCTAGGCTGGTCCCAATCAGATATCTGGATCCGATCGGCCGCCCATATTCCAAAAAAACTGCGTATCGGCCAACAGGAGAAAATGCTAAACCAGACTATTACTTTAAAAGCCCTCAAAACAGCTTTAAAATAAAAGAAATCTGCTGTAAAATCCCCCAAAACTGCTTTAAAAGCTTCTGGTCTAGGCCGGCAGGAGAAAATGCAGATCCAGACTCCAGATCCAGTTTTTTTTTTAAAGTCCGATCCCACATTAGCATTAGCATTAGCATCTGTAACCCACAGGTCTGTGTCCTAACCATTAAGTTGTTATCAGAGTAAATCCCTGTTCAACATGAGTCTGACAACTAAGTAGATAAATAATTTAAGACTTTAATACATGCTCTGATAGGCCGGGATCGGGACGTCTCTAGTCCAGACTGAGGAGTTTTTGTTTGTTTTTTGTTTCTCACCTTGTCAAAGACCCTGAAGGCCTCCCGGATCTCCTCCTCGCTGTCCGTGTCCTTCATCTTCCTCGCCATCATCGTCAGGAACTCTGGGAAGTCGATGGTCCCGTTTCCTGACGGTCAGAGAAAAAAGGGAAACATGACCCTTCTGAAACATTAACTCATTGGCTGCTAAAGGCGTCTACAGACGTCTTTTATGTTTTTAACGAGAGTGTCTGGGGGACGATCTGCTAAAGCTTGTCCGTAAATATCGGCTTCTAGACAGAGTATGTAGTAACAAATTGACCCTCTAGGGGGCAGTGCCACTTTTGATGGGAGATGAGCATAGACTGTAGGCAAATAAGAAAAAGGGAACGGTTCTATGAGAGAACATGGCGCCGGTGAGACGCAAGTCCAGGAAGAACGGAATAAGGTAGAAACACATTTTTTTTTTCCTGATGAAAGAAGAGAG